AACAGGGAAAAAAGAGGCAGACAGACATAAAGAGATGCAGACAGAAGGAAGGGAAAGAGAAAAAGATTCAAAAGTTGAAGGTAATGGTTTTGTTTGATCTATACGCCCCTTGGATACGCCGGTCCTGCTGCGCCATGATAAGCATGCATGTCATTAATCAGTGCATTTTGATGCTCCTACATGCAGGCGTGTGACTACATCATGTCATGGAAATAGTTTTTTCTTGCTTCTTGTAAGGGAGGTGCTAATGGATGCACCAGTGAATTGTCGGTGTGAAGTGACACCACCAACATGGATATCACGATTATGGTAATTCAAGGTGCTCTGTCATTTTTCCCCTCAGCTGTTGTGTCACTCATACGTCATGGAGACAAAAAAAACATGCATGTGACTCACCTTTGACTATCTGCTTGGCACAGGTGCTGTAGACCTGCTCCTGTGTGCTGTTAGTTGGGAAGACTCGGTCAAACACATACGCCTTCCCCTGTGGAGGCGAACACAAACACAGTCAGCTATGACAAAGACAGTTTAGAGCGCGCTTTAGATCATACTCAGCACCTCATCCTTCCCTGTGACGTGCTGTAAAAATGCATCTTGGAAACTTTGTGAAGCAGAGCGCACGTGACGGGAGACACATCATGTTTTTCACTAAAACATTTATGTAAACCCATATTGCCACTATAAAGCAGTGCCACATCAATATTTCCTATACGCAGAGCGAACAGGGTTTATGGATGCTCTGTCCATCTGTGTGTAGGCTGAAATAGCAGGGTATATATCACATTAAGAGGCCCATCTGTCTCTTTTTGATTGGTGCAATATGCATCCTGAGTATATTTGATGGAGGCAGTGGTTGTTTCGAACGAGTGCACCGCAGCGTAGCGGAGAGCTTTGAGCAAAAGGTTGTTTGACCCAGAGAGACAGAGAGAGAGAAAGAGACCACGTCTGAGGCAAGGCCATTAGAGGCAGCGTTCAAGGACTACAAGAGCAAAGTGATGGAAATGAGAGAAGAAATGGAGTGGAGGCGTAGAGAAGAGTGGCAGTGTAGGAAAAGTGAAAGACAGCAGATGACCTGAAATCAGCATTTGAGAAAAGGAGAATTTTTAAAAAATGCATAAAGACCGCAAAGAAGAAGAGCCTGTTTCTCTGACTGAACCATCAGCGGAGCTAAATAAGTCAACCTGGTGACCAGCCTGC